GGTTCTTTAGTTAACTCACTCTCACGACCTTGACTCGCCAACTTTGGCACTTAATGTTGCTTTCCTGTCTTTCGATTCCTATTCATCTGATGTGTTGGTGCTAAAGATATCGGTTTTTTCCAGTCTATAGTACCACCAAAAGAGGTCGTGTGTGCTTTCATATTCTTTTTATTTTTTATACATATAGTTGATATTAAATTTCCCCTTTGCGCTCCCATCCCCTTTTCTCCAGTCAATTACCAGCAAAAGAGGTCATGTGTGCTATTATATTCTTTTTATATTTTTTATGCACATAGTTATATTAAATTTCTTCAGTTTTTAAACAATATCCAGCCTTCCATTTTCTAACAACGTCCAGCCTTTCATTTTCTTCAGCAAACGGATGGTGCTAGAGATATCGGTTCTGTAGTTAACTCACTCTCACGACCTTGACTCGCCAACTTCTATGGTACTTAATGTTGCTTTCCTGTCTTTCGATTCCTATCATCTGATGTGTTGATGCTTGAGAAGAAGCTTTGGCATTGACACCTTACTTTCTTTCATATAAGCCTTCTATTTTCTAACAATGTCCAGCCTTCCATTCTCTTCAGCAAACGGGATGGTGCTAAAGATATCGGTTCTTTAGTTAACTCACTCTCACGACCTTAACTCGCCAACTTTGGCACTTAATGTTGCTTTCCTGTCTTTCGATTCCTGTTCATCTGATGTGTTGGTGCTAAAGATATCGGTTTTTTCCAGTCTATAGTACCACCAAAAGAGGTCGTGTGTGCTTTCATATTCTTTTTATTTTTTATACATATAGTTAATATTAAATTTCTTCAGTTTTTAAACAACGTCCAGCCTTTCATTTTCTTGAGCAAACGGGGTGGTGCTAAAGATATTGGTTCTGTAGTTAACTCACTCTCATGACCTTGACTCGCCAACTTCTATTGTACTTAATGTTGCTTTCCTGTCTTTCGATTCCTATCATCTGATGTGTTGATGCTTGAGAAGAAGCTTTGGCATTGACACCTTACTTTCTTTCGTATAAGCCTTCCATTTTCTAACAACGTCCAGCCTTCCATTTTCTTCAACAAACGGGTTGGTGCTAAAGATATCGGTTCTTTAGTTAACTCACTCTTACGACCTTGACTCGCCAACTTTGGCACTTAATGTTGCTTTTCTGTCTTT